CATCAATTAAGTCTTTATCATTTCCCTTCTGTTCAAACTCAGAAGTTCCAGAATTGATATGAATGTATAGGTCTACCACAAGCAATATTCTGAATACATTGCCATGTAGACAGATAACAAGAAATAAGGGTAACTATCAACTATTAATACTAGTAATCTTTGATTCACAATAGATCTGTGCAGCGTTTTTCATTACATATATCTATTATACTAATATATGGCAGTTAATATTATATTAATATAATGTTAATAATATAAATATTAACTGCCATTCAAATTTTGACTTTCATTTCTGAATAACAGCTAGTCCAAACACATGCAAGATCTGTTTTGGACTCATCAGTCTACAGAACAAGTACAGTATTCTACTACATGGAGTGCAAGTCCTGGCCTCACCATGTAAACTATTGTTACCAATATCAGCTGGGGACTGTTTTTGTCAATGGAATGGAACCTGTAGCATTAATTCTGAATCAAATATTAACAAAGGAAAAAGGAAATGATCTCCTTGGAGCCGAAAAAGCTTATGATTGCTAGACAAATTTTCCTTGTCAGTATCATTGAAAATGTCTTCTAAACAGTGTGGATATTATTATGATGTCAGGGTGTAGAGGGTTAATATTAATAATACCACTACAGGAAGTGTGTTTTTCATTTCAGTTGAGCACCCTTCCTAATGTTTGGTTGGATAATAAAAACATCAGCCAAACATTAAATTATCAAAATCATAGTTAAGTAACTTAACTTCAGTATTAGTGAGAATAATGTATATTTATAACCTCTGCTTTAGGCTGTGTCCTTGAAAATTCCTTGAGGGCTCTTCCTCGTCCAGCGATGTATTTTCCCGTTAGCTTTGAATTATTCCCTGCCTGCAAAATAAAAAAAATTTTAAAAAAAGATGACAACATTACGATATTAACCTCTTTACTCCCAAGATCTGATTGTTGATTGTCTCCCCTGGCTGCTACATATTTGCTTGTAAATTAGTTATGAGAATTTGGTGTTAGATCAAGATCATAACTTTTACTTGATAAGTTTGATTATTCTTAGTACCTGTTTCCTAGATAATGTATGGATGTTAAAGGAAGAAGTTAGTCTTAATCACTTTGAAAAGTTGGTTAAAGGGTTCAAATGTTAAAAATAGAATACTTCATTCATAGAAATCATTCATTTAACCATTTCACTACAAGAAGTGACCAAAACGGTATTCCTCCTTACAACATCATTACATTCAAAGGCTGAAAATTGATATGAAGAAGGAAAAATATACCTAGCCAAGAGGTGTATTGCTTTATTTAAAACAAAATTCTCAAAATAAAGTCAAGAGAAATGTATAGACATTGCCTAGAGCTGATGTTTAGCACTTTTGTAGCAAAAGGGCTAACTGAGTAGAAACAGTAAAACAGGCTCCCAAAGTTTCATTTCTCTTTACTGTCTGCAATACAATTCTTTCAATGTTACTTAAGGGAATTTGGAGGTGGATCAACTAATAATCCCTTACTTGATATTTTTCTTAATTCTCAAGACTTGAATGATTGATATTGTATTAATATTGTAAGGAGAAATTCTGTTTTGATCACTCACAAGAGTTAAAGGATTTAAGTATCGTATATTGTTTTTTTTTAAATATGTATTGACAAGAAAATTTTTTATCCTAACACTGGGTAATTGTTAAAATAGTATGATTTGTGGAGTGTCGCCAATATGACAGTCATGGGATACCAATTTGAAAGAATATCTTTTTAATTTACCAGCAATGCTTACCTTTTGTCATTTACATTACCAAGTTCAGGAAAAAGATGTATTTAAAAGGCAACAGGTGAAATTTGGCCTAATTTTCAATTGAACAATAAACTAAATTGTGTTTCAGTCAACAAATTATTTTACCTCTGTCAAAAACCTTTAAAGATGAAAACATTATGTTTTGATAAATTATCTGCAGTATTAGTCTGCAAGACTAATATTTAAAGCTGTAAAGTTCCATATTCATTGTTCAAAAATAGCATAAAATACATGCAAAGAACTCATCTGGAAGTATTCCTCCAAGATAACTTTGACATTTGGATCAAAACTCTCCAACCTATGATCATGTTTCCATGTTTTTTTTTTTTCTGAGGCCTGTAACAAATCTTTGAAAACCATAAAATTGGGTGAAATATTAGAAGAAAAACATTTAATTGTCCTTCTTTGACAAATTTCATTTGTTAAATAGTTTGAATCTGAAGCTTATGTAGCAACTTTACCATGAAGTAAACATTTAGACCCAGAAAAAATTTGTAAAAACAAGACTCAGTAAATTGAAAAGGATGGACAGAAGAAAGAAGAAAACTAATGGCAACTTTTTCATGATGTTAACATCTCTGACACAACTAAAGTAGTTTGTTACTAAATGTAAGGATGTTATACACATAGATCTTACTCTCTATATTACCTTTCCAGGTCGGCCATCCATGGTGTGCTAATGTTCCCTTTGTGAGGACGCAATAAGTCACATCTGTTCAGTTCATAACCTAGAAGCATTTAGAGGAAATAGATAAATATAATATTATTGTATAAGAAAATTCTGTTGACAGTTTTTCACACTTATTCAAGAATTATGGAGAGGTTAGGAAGGCTAACATTAAACACTTACATGTCTTGAACAGAATTGTCTGTGCCAATTAACATACACAGAAGCCCATGTACTATACAAATTTAAGTTACTTGAGCATTATCCAGGTTGTATACATTTTTCTTTGTTCTACTTTAATGATGCACATGTAGTTGGTCTGTATATATTATTAAGTTCTCAGAAAAGAACAAACTGATATTCCTGTCATTTCAGGGCTGTCATTAGAAAATGAAATAGATATATGATCTTAACTGAGTAAGCTATTGAAGTTAATTGCATAGCAAGCATGTCATGTTGCAAAGGGGAGTCTAACTCCTCCGCAAAAGGTGAAATATGAAACTCTCTGAGATGTGATTTGCAGCATTAAGAGACATATTTGAGCAACCTTTAATAGGCAGACATTGATGTTAGGATCAGTTCGAGAATACTTATTTTCTATCTTTGATCACATTTGAAGGAAGCCAGCACAAAATGGTCTGAGCAGGTTTCTGCCACCTACAGACTTTTGGTGACAAACCTGCAGTTAAGTACCTTAAAAACACAGATGTTTGCTTCAGAGTAATCCCTTGGGGGAGCAACATAGGAAGCTGGGTTACTAGATGTTTAATCCTTAAACAAGATTGACTTGTAAATACTAGATTTCTCTAAAGCATTATAAGCAGTGAATAAATTCATTCTTGATGCTGAGTCACAATCAACTATTATCTCTTGAGCAGTGCTTTAGGTTTTAGTACATCATGTACTTTGACCATTCAGTGGATCACAATGCTGAAAGCTATACCAGTTTATCTAGCATGTTCAAGCATCCAGGACTGGACTGTTCAAAACTTGGTCAAGCTACATCCCAGTAGGAGTATTATCTGGTGCCATAACTTTACAGAGAGTTTTCTTGCTTATCCATTACCACAATCTGAGCCCTAGCATTAATTGAGGACACGAAAACACTCCTCTGCTTAAAATTGAGTGGTGTTAAACCAAAGAGATTTTGCTCTGACAAAGAGCTCATGCTCGAAATGTACGCTTTAGAAACTCTGACAATAGCCAAGTACCAATATTAACTCAGTTGATCAAACTAAATTATCAAAGAGATGTCTGATTGGGGTGTGGTCAAAGTAGAGGCAAACTTTTAGGAGGTGACAATATTAGTAGTTTGCAGGCTTGTACTGGTCCAACAACACACAATTTTGGATAAGTTCATACCAGCAGAGAAACAGCGTTTCTCCCAAGACCCACCTGTTCCTACATGGAGCCGACATAAATATATAAACACGTTATTTGATCGAATCCTGTCATGCACAAGTTCCTGATCAATTTAGCAATAATTTACAGAAAGCTTGTTTTCTTTAAAATGCCTAAGCGACTCTGAAGTTGAACAGACTCGTTCGTGTTTTGGTGAGGCGAGATTTAAACCCTCATCAAGAGATCAATCGATTTAAGTAGTTCATTCCATATTTCATTTTCTATTTAGTCAAAGAGTCTGTCGCTCTCTTTCTGTGATCCTAAACAAAACACCTACGTAGCTCGATTGATGAAAAATGTCAGTCCCACAGTCATGTCACCAAAAGGAAGCAAACTTAGCTTCTGTGATCGACTGTACTAAGAGTGACCAAAAGGAATGAATTACCGACAGGAAACTGATAAAAAGTTCACTTCATCCTCGATTTCCTCAGCGTATTAAAATTTCTAAGCAACTCAGTGAGTTCGTTGAAATGGCCTGTTATCATTGTATTCATACCTTTGTGTCTGCCGGAAATCGCCTCTAATTCTTGAAACTGCCAACGCAAGGTCAACACGAAAGTATCCCTCTCCGATGCAGCTCGCGCTATCAGTTAATTTTTGTCTAAATTTAAATTTCCAATCACGCCAAGGAAATTACCGTCAAACGGCCAACAGCTGATGTGATGGCCACATCAGCTCACGCGAGAATTATAGAACGTTGATTTCCATCAAGAACGATCGAAACTGCTAGGTGGCCACAAGAAAGAAGCATATTGTTCCGTAAAAACACTTTTCGGTTTCCAAGTAATGCTTTCCTGGTGCCTACGTAGGCAAATTTTCGGACATACTTCGGCATCAAACGGGAAAGAGTGAGACGTTGATAATAATTTTGGGGACGGGTGGGTGAGTAAGGACTAAAACTCTTGTAAAATTGGAATCAAATAAAATGTTCTTGAGATTGTATCTTATGCTATAATTTATATTTCTTAAAATCATGCTTGATCATAAAAAATGGATTTGATAAGTTTGAACGCGAGGTCTAAATGGAAAAACATCATATGGCCACATTAACCTTAGCCTACACCAGAAAGTACACTTATGGGTTGTGAGAGCGAGACGGAATGGGTCTGGGTCATCTCCAGTCCCCTCTCAATTAAAGTTGAATATTCAACATGGCGGGCATTTGATAAATAAAGTGCTTCCAGGAATAACTTCCTTTAAGAAGAAAGAAAGAAGTATAATTAGACTCTAAAAACACTCTGATTTAATAACTCGGCGGATTTCTGCATCAGGAAAAGATGAACAGCGTTGCTACAGTCGATAAACGGAGGCATTCTTTTCTGTCCGGTTATATTCGTCAGCTGATTTGCGAATCTTTTGAAGAGCTTGAAGGTGCTGGAATTAACGCGATGAAAACGTCTGACTGTGGTTTCACAGCGGGTGGTTATTTGCAATGGGAAAAAATTGGGACAGTTCTTGGGCAAGGTATAGAGAAAACTGTCTTTGATTGGAAATATACTTACATTCTCCTGTTCACTCATTTTAGTTAGTGCCTAAAGATGAACTTAATTAAGAATTATCCTAGAGCTCCACTCCTCTTTCCATATAATTAGAATCCCAGTTAAATTTGATCTCTAACTGATCCCTGATTTTATTGAGCAATTTTCTCTTAAGCGTATTTTCGTGATACTTTTTACCCGTTACACCAGTATGCATGTATGTTCTCCATACTGTTTTCTATACTCATCTTAGAGTGCTGAGAAGGAGAATTTAGTTAGCAATCAAGAGCTTCTTCATTTGGTAATCATTTCCTTTATTCTCCCATCCTTAATTAATGTGGGATTCAGGGGTTGATATTATAAGGAGAAATCAGATGTTAGTCACTCTTAGAGGTCAGGGGTTAACCAAATTCTCTATGGCTATTCCCTTTTCCCTTTCGCTTTTGTACTGATCTGAAACTAACTATTTTTCTCCTCTTAGATATAATAAACGATCATGCCAACTGCGATTATCATGATGCTGTGACAAGGTTACATCCAGTTTGTTGTGCTGTCCACCATGAGCTTATCAGTCTACAGCCACATGAATTTGAAACGCAATACATGCCTAGTCTTCTTTGGACTGGATGTGAAAGGAGATTTGTAGAGTGCTTCGCACTTCTCAAATCTTCAAACACTGCTGATTACAACTTGTGCCTGCTGTTGTTGACGTCTTCCTTGGAGCATGCACTGGGTGATGTGTATTTGTCATACTCTTGTGCTCCCCAGTGTCCTTCTCTACTTAAAGACTTGTTAGCAACACAAGAGCTGAAAGAAGTGTTTGGTGAAACAGTGATAAGGCTTTTACACATCTTAATTGGTCCTCCCTCAAGCCTAAACCTTAGGAATATTTTGTGGCATGGCTTTGCAGGACCTGGAGAAGTTCCTATTCAGTAAGCATGTTTTGATTGATGCAAATTATTGAATTTTCCTCCTCAGATATTGCATCTCTTGCATTCTGACTGTTTCACACAATTAATGTCACCTACTAATTTGTGAGAATATTTTTTTTTCATACATTTCTTTTTATAACTTGCATTTCCATGGCCAGCCACAATTTTCCTACTCTTCCAACCCTTAATTATTGAGGAACACAAGTGTATGTATATAATGTGTAGCAAAGATTAAAGGAGTAAAATTCATCCAAATTTCTTTACCACAAGTGATTTCCACTCAGAGAAAACTATGACAGCATCAGTATATAGGTGTATTTACTAACAGGAAACTATTGTTGAAAGACTGACCAGAAAGGAATTTCTCCCTACAATATACAATATCAATACAATTTCAAGCAAAGGGTCTTGAGAACTTAGAAAGATATCAAGTAGGGGAAATTTTTCTGATTTAAAACTACATTCTAAGAGTTAAAATTATAAGAACTGTCCAGCAGACAGTGTAAAGAAATTCATGTTTAGAACTTGGGAGGTGGAGGTTAATGTATGGCACAGGCAAGTAATATTAATTCACTAGTTCAGTTTCTGTTCATCTCTAGGTATGCCTCACTGCTGCTGGTGATTACTGCCTCACTGAATGTCAAGTTAAAAGACCCTCCATTTTGTTCAAGACAGATTAAGAGGAGACCTTCAATTGCCTTGTCAACTTGTGCTAACAATAAACTTCACAGTATTTTTCCTGCTTTAGAACCATGTAACATGACTGAGATATTCAATTTACTTAATTCAAGTTTCTTTATCATTCCAAATATGCTTCCATTGTGGCTTACAGCACTTGATTACTTTAAAGAGCAAAGGTATGTCACAATCTTCTTCTACTTTTTTTCCTTCCTCTTGCACTTTCTGAAACTTTCCTGTCTTCAGCTTGATGAATCCTGGAAGCTTTCATTTTAGGATATTATTAGTTATTCTTTAATAATTTTGCAATATGTGTTCTCCCTTTCAGATTTGATTTGTGTGTTATGCTGTTGCTCCCTCAATTAGAACATGGTCTAAGGAGAGTATTTGCTTCCATAAATAACTGTCCACACAGAGTTCTAACGGCAGAATCAACAGTATTGTATACAACATTTGATGAGGTAAATATTCAGCACTAAATTAAAGATATTGCCTTACTTGTGCTTACTAGCTCAAGACAACCATTTTACAAATTCTAGATTGACTGGAGGGAAGCAAAAAGTTAGCCCTTTGCACCCTAAAATCATCATGCATATTTTCCATCAACAGTTCTCTACAGATTTCCTTAGAGACTGATAAGGAGAAATTTTTTGACAACCAAGAGCTTCTTTAGTTGGTTATCAATTCCTTTATTCTCATGACTTCAATGTTTGATTCAAGGCTGAAATTGTAAGGAGAAATTAGATGATAATCACTCTCAGGAGTTGAAGGGTTAAGTTGCCAAAATATTTTGCCTGAGAGAAATGTGGCCCTAATGAGGCACAAATGTCCCAACAATTTTGTCCAAAATTGTGGCTCATTTTGTTTCCTTATTTTCTTTACTACAGATTCTTGCACCAGTTTTACAAGATGGCTCAGAAAACCTTTTGAGGCAGGAATTAGGAGATGCCCTCATGGAAATGTTGCTTGATGTTCTTGTGCATTCAGAGGGACCAAGAATTAGAGACCATGTCAGCCATGGTGAAGTGGATCTGCACAAGATTTCACAGCAGTTAGCCAATCACATTCTGTGCATTTGTATAGCATTTGCTGGATCATATTTTAACTCAGATACCGGCAATTTCCCAATGACCACAAGGATCTGTGAAGCAACAAAAGTTTACAAGTCCCTTTTTCATCCTATATCCCTCTTAGCAAAGGTTGTACACAATCTTGCTTTGTCATTACTGAAGTGGAAAGATCTACCGAAACCATCTGGTGAAGAATGTGAGGAGTTGGATTGTGATAGGAACAAAAGTGCTGCTCATTTTCCAAATGTGTCAAGAGCCCTCCAAGCTGTTATTATGATATCAACCATTTTTACTGAAGAAAGTTTAACTAAAATCTTACCTTGCCAATTTGATTTGGATAACATTGACACTTTTTTCCCAAGATGTTTGCAAATCTTGGACACTGCCTCATTTCCTACTCTGTTCAGGTCCAAAGGAGAGCTAGAGATAGCTATGTTGTTACATAGGATTGTGCAACATGGAACAGTGACATTTGAGCAGGCAAGATAAACTTCAACCTTGTTCCCAGGCACACCCTTGTTCCCAATTCCCAGAGCAAGAGAGAGAGTGAGACCCACAACATGGGGGTGATAAGATGATGGAGCCAGGGAATGAGTTTTACAGCTCCAGTTAACTCTTTAATTCCCAAGATCTCAACAGTAATTCTCCTTACAGTCTGCCATACAGTTAGAACTCGAAATGTTAGTTTGGAGGATTTGGTATTGGATCAACTTGTAATTCCCTAATTGGTATTTTTCTTTATTCTCATCACCTATCTGGTTGATATTGTATTGATATTGTAAGGAGAAATTCTGTCTTGGTCACTCATGGGAGTTTTAAAGGTTAATCATTTTCCACACTGTTCTCTTTACATTTACTCTTCCTCATTTCCTTTACATTGACAATCAGGAACTTCTTAAATGGTGATAATTTCCTATATTGTCATGAGATTTAAATTTGATTCAAGGGTGATCACACTAAACGGAGAAATTACAGGCCAGTCACCCCCAGGGGTTGAAGAGTTAAACATTTGGGCCACCCTTAAGGGAGCAGCCCTACTCAAGGGACACGAAGTTTGGTCTTCAATGAAAAGCGCTCCTACTTTTATACCATGTCCCGCAGATGGTGCCTGTATTAATTCACTCTTATTTTAACCTTACCCTACCGGTTAGAACCACTAAAGTACGTGTGAACTGCAAAAAAAAAATCGATCGCGACCTTTTAATCACTAAATCACATATGTTGCATGAAAATATGCGATAACTGCACAAGCGGACGATCCTTACTTTACGGCAGGAATACCTGCACCTCACAAACACTGTGTATTTTCTTGTCTCCATCAGATATGTGAAGTAGCGGCCATGAGATACAAACAGTGGAAGAATAGAGAGCTCCGACAGCGGCAGAGAGCAAATTATAAACGTCTGTGGAACCACCTGCCTTTCATATGTGCCGTTCTGCAGCTGATGGTGCTGGTTGTTATTGAAGAATTGCATCAGCTTCCAAGGAGCTTGGAAAATAGGCATAAGAGTACATTCATCAAGTAAGCAGGCCGTTAATATTTTTTTTATTTTTAAGGAAAGATGAAGTGATTTTAGAGCTTAAAGCATATTATCAACATCGAATTTGGTCTCCTTCCTGACCTGTATACGTGTACTTGTATGTGCCAATTGTGTTTGTTTTCATGCACTTTCTCTTCCTAGGGATACTTTTATCAATATCAGTATCTGGGAAACTACCCACCTACCCCTCCCCTAACCCAACAACTTAGGGTTAATGTTAGGTTAGAGGAGGGGTAGATGGGCAGTTGCCCAGACACTGATATTGATCCTACTTTTCCAAGCCAAAGTAATGAATTAAAATATTTATTTTCTTTCGGCAGATTCTTAAAGCGATGTCTTCAATGCAGTGAAAATATGGAGTCGTTATCCAGTAAATCTAAAAACAAATGGGACGAATGCTGTTCTGTAGGAGAAACTTTTGTGGATTGTGTGCAAAGTTATTATACTGAACTTCGTCATAAATTGGAATCATGACGACCTTCGAAGCCTGCTTTACAGTATATTTAGCATGTTCATTCCAAACCTCGATTAGGTAATTAGTTGATTTAGCAACAGACAATTAATAATAAAAAAACGCGACGATGAACCATACAGCGAACCTCGCACCACCTCGAATAAACATCTACCTTTAAGGTAGGAAAAGTTAATAAGCGCCCAACCTCTAATAGGCAGCCACCCCTCCCCTATCTCAATAAAAAAAAGGAAAAAAACTGAAGTGCACAAGAGGAGTATTGATTATCATCTCTCTACCGGCTTACAATCTCTAAATTCGCTGTATGGTTCATCTTCGCGTTTTTTTATTATTAATTGTCTGTTGCTAAATCAACTAATTACTAGTGAAATTATTGATAATTGAATATTTACCCGGCCACAAATATGTGTCTACCGCGGATGAGCACCCACTACCAAAGTCCTAGAAACTAGAACACCCAAGGCGCTTAATCGAATGATAACGGTACTTATGAGACATTGAAAAAGAGAGTTCAGTGTATGACATCTTTGATTAATAAAAAAACACTAGCAATCCCTTATTTCATTAATGTTTTTAATCACATGCATGGACATCATTTCTTGACAAGTTTTCCTATTTTGGTAACGACTTTTCAAGTCTAACTCTATTCTTCAATCAGAGGCGTCCTATTTCACAAGCTTGTCACAAGAACTATTACGTCACAGTTTACCAGTCGAAAATCAAATTGTAATTGATAAGTAAACAGTGCACCAGTGTTGTTGAACACGCTTTTAGATCAACCACTGTACACTTCACAACAGAGAGGCAAATCAGTTACTATATTACAGCATGCAACCTGCCTAAAAAGATGAAAACAAAACTCAGGTTATTGATACTCTTTTTTTTCTTTACAAAACAAAACAAGAAGAAGAAGAAAGAAAAAGAGAATGAGAAAGAGAAAGTGAAGACGAGAAGAAGGAGAAGGAGACAATTTTTAAGCCTCCTCTAGTAGCGACCTTCTCCTCGAGGCCCGAACTACTCACGTTTTTCAATTTTTAAAACTTCAGCTAAGATGTTTAAGCATGTCAATTGCAATCTGTGTTCGTATTCGTCCGAAACCACTTTCAGTTTTTTTGTTCTGTCATCACGTCTTTAGGGTTCTCCTAAACTCCTGAACAACTAGGTGAAGAATTCATTCTATGCGAAGGAATTCCATCAAGAAGCGAAAAAATAACTCAAATATGCATGCATCTCTAGAGAAATTGAAATTACTGGGGTAATGGAGCTCTTATCGATAAAAGCGCGGGAATCTCGCGTGACCAGGACGCAGTTGAAATTACTTTCGCATCTAATTGGTTGAGAGGGTGGTACGGGTGTTCTGCATGTACCAATGACAGAGCGAGGTAAAACCAACCAATGATACCTGGACTACTTTTGACACCCAATTGAAAAATTGTTCAGTAAACTGAAATTATAAGGTTCGAATATTTGGCAAGTAGGAAAAAGCAGAACGAAAAGAAAAACCAAGTAATTGCCTACTTGAGAAACTTATGGATAAGCGTGACGATGAGAACAAGAGCTGGCACAGGATACCCACCCTTGTGTGTCCCAGGGACGCCACTGGGACAAGGTTTTGGCGTCGGTTCAGAAGTGAATTTCATATCCAAAAATCGCTTGAGGCTGGCAGGGAAATCTGTAAAATATCCATCAACCTGAAGATCAAAGAACTTTTGATACTCGTTATAAGGATCTTGGGTGTAATTCCACGCCAAGTATTTGTCTTCGTTCCTGAACGTGTAAGTATGAACCACCAGGTTGTTCTTGCGTGCATTGGTGAGGAGATCGGTTGTTTTCTGCAGATAACCATTAAGCTGTGGTATAATCAGGTTCTTCCAAACACCAATACCAGCACAGATAGAGGACAGTTCTTGGAGCTTTGCTTCAGGAAAGGGATAATCAAAAAGTTTCACCAAAGGCAGCTCGGTTTTCGTCTTCAATTCTCTAATGCTTTTCTCGCTGAAAGACTGTACATAACAAGGGGAGTCTTTTTTACGATATCCATTCTTGTGCAAAACGTCGAGAACCACATCCTCGAAAGTTGTGTTTTTACTTCGCAAAATTTCTAACGAATTTACCCACTCTGGATTTTTAATCTCAGGGTATATTCCTACAACTCTGTTGACAGATTTGGCGACATCAATGTACTCCTGAAGTGTAGGAATTTTAAACAAGCCGTTAAAATTTGGATCTCTGAATGGATACTTCTGATTAACGCCGATGGTTTTGATCTCTGCCAAAGTGAGATCCACAGTGAAGATGTCGGTGATAGTCTTAGTAGTGTTTGAATAAGGTTGGAACACGTTGTAAGTCTTCACTTTGGAGTGAAGGGTTTGGTTTTCCCAGACATTAGTGGTGTGATTCAGCCAGCTCTCGTGGCGGCAAATGGGCACCAGATCCTTGGTGATACAGACATCGCATTCAATGTAGTCTGCGCCATCTTCAACACCCAACCTGTTCAAAACATAAGGAAGTCAGTCATTATTCATCGCGCCTGAGGGGGAGGGGGCGGGGCGCACGGAGGGTTTTAGGCGGCCACACGGATGAAAGGAGGAGGATCAGTCGTCGCCAACAGAGTATAAAGGGAGTACTACATACAAATTGGACCCAGTACCCCTGTTGCCAATGGGAGGGGGGTATGAGAACATTACCGAACCTCACTGGGGAATCAACTCGACTGATTTTATCGTGACATAACGAAAGTCTTCCGACATATAACGAAAACCTTCCCCACACTTCTTTCGTGCTCTAGCTGCTTCCTGCGTGCTCAACAACAGAAGAGAGCTCAGTCAAGGCTTCTCTATTTGTTAATTCAAGAGAACATGAGCTCACATACATCAATCGTGGTTTTAGGGTCTCTCTAGAAAGGTGCCAATGGATTAGAATGGACATAACATGGACATAGATTGTTTACAGTGGACATGAAATGGTTAGTAAGCCCCTTTCGCGATTGGCAAATGAAGATGGCCTTCGATTCGCCCCAGTTTTCTCTGCCTCGAAGCTCAAGTGTTAAGGATTTTATGTCATCAGTCCCTCATCATTAAGTGGGTGGCGATGAGAGCTCAAAAATGAGCTACAGAGTTCACATGAAAAAAAAAATGTATCCTGCATATGACGACAATAAAGAACGAACCAACAAAAGAAATAAATAAATGGACACAAAGACAAATGGAACAACTAACAATATCTGTATAGGCCATGTATTTAATGGGAAACGATTCTCCCTCCGGTGAAAAAACAAGCAAACCTCTCCATGATATTTGTTTCGTGTAACGCGTGTCACACAAAGAACGTCATATTTTAAAAATTCTCTGTGGCTCCGATTGTTCTCAAAGCTACTGGCGACGATAAATCGCAACTGGCTAAACTTCCAGTCTCCAAGTGGAGCCCAGAGTTTTGTTACCTTTCAATCACTTGACAAACCTTTGAAATTCTTAAAACTGTTCTGTGTTTTTATGCTGCGGGTTACCCGCAAAGTCTTTCATGTGACAAATCGTAGCAATCTGCTTTCAAATGCAAACTGTAAGTTTGAGTACGAACAAGTGTACTATAATTTCACGGCTGGTTTCGTTGCCTACCGAGGAAAGACGAACCTTAATTTTCAAGAAATCTGACTAAAGGCATTATTTCACTCAGTCTTGTCAACTTTATTTGCTCAAATTTAAGACAACTCAATTTCTTTTAATACCGGTAAATCAGACGAAGCACTGGAGTGTAACCTATTGTCCTTTGTGTTAATATAAATATTACAAGGAAATAATTGATTAGTCAATGACTTTGTTTTTTTTTATTTTCCGTGTTAAAGTAGCGTGGGAAGCGATTTCAAGACCTATTCTTTTTTCTTCAGTCCCAATTTTCATGCAGGAACATAAATGATATAGGTATCGCTGTCTTTCACGCATCTTCACATTCTTATCATCAAAGGTCAACCTGTCATAATTATACTAGTTGCACTTAAAAATATTCCTTTCGATCTATATGACTGTTGTTATTTTGGCTCGCGAAACACGGCATGAAAGTCTCTGCATTGCATTTTATATCAAAATTCTTGCCTCTTTCGATCAGGCAATGGGAATTTGAAAAGTGAAGTTCCTACCTGTATGCCTCAACGGTGTGTTCAGGTAATCTACCGGAGCTGCCACGGTGTGCAATATTCAGTGGCCTGACAACCGGTTTCTGGGCGAAAGATGCTGCAAACGATATCAACAACAAAAACATTGCATGCTTTTCCATGATTTCAAATCTGTATTGCTAAGACCGGAATAAAGTATTTAGGTCCACGGTAACACTCTGCAAACGGCTGATTAGACAACTTAGTTGTTACTGGAGACTGTGGTATCAACAACAGAGGACTTTGGTCCCTCACGCCACCTCTGGTGGAATGCTTTCAATAGAGCTGTCGATCAAACTTATGAGGTATTGCGCAGTTGCGTTCCTTCAGGGGTTACAAGTCCCAAGGAGGCACTTGGATATTTCTAGGGCACGAGCCCATAATGGGCTCCTGTCTAGGGCTATATGCAAGGTCAGACGTATTATGCTCGAAAATTCGAGCATTATGGTTTTACTCGTCAACCCTGAAAACATAGCATTATACCTAATTTTGCAATATGCTTCCATTGTTTAGTAAGAGTGTTTGAGAACCCTTCAACCTCCTCTCCCCCCCACTCCGCAGCCCTACCACAGACAGGTAAATCTAACTAGGGATAAAAGCCTGGTATAAAAGGTTTACTTTACTTTGAAAAAAAATATATTGTACAAAATTTCCGGCTACACATATTTATCTCTTGTTAAATACGTAGGGTAGTAGCCAGGCCTTCAATGAAGTATATATCCTTTTAAAAAATATAGAAAAGTACCAGAAACTCCTACAAAGTAATGAAAACGACCCTACAAACGTTATTGTAGAAGTATATTAGAAACGCAGATTAACGCGCTTATGCTCAATAATTTAAGCACTATCCTCGATGCTCTGATTATGCACTAAACGTCAGCTTTTCAAAATTCACCACGGAGGTTAAAATACCTCTGAACATTTGTAGCGGAGAAACAACTTTTTAAGTCATAGATATTCATAATCCGAGCAATCATTAATAATTATAAAAAACCTAACCAAAATTTACGTACCGTTATATCTTCGTCCCTTCGACCGACCGAGCTCGAAAATTACCATCTTCACTCCAAGATCACGTCCGTGTTTGTAAACACCCGTAATTTCCATAAAGAGAAAGCATCAAGGACTACACACGATCTGTAGTTAGAATACGATGCGAAGGTCTGAAAATATTGTCAAACTTGCGATGTATGTGCTAAAAAATCACGGGGTAAGCCTTCAAATATCGGCATACAGGTAAGGGAAAAACGAATTGTCTTGCACAGTAATGCACGAGCAACGACTAAAACGCAAGAATGTTATAAAGGCTCTTAAAATTCCTCAGCGAGTTGATTAATAGTCCGTTTTACAGTTTCGTGCTTGGTTGCGAAGCCTTGGACTAGGAGTGAGGTTAAGGGTGCCCTTGTTATGATACAAAAATTGCTTGGCAACTAAGTACACAACTGTAATATGGCCTATGTCCAGTTGTGTGGGTGTGGGGGAAAAGAAACACCACGATTTTTAAGCCATCGGCAGCTTTACAATCAAATTTTTCGTTTTTAAGAAAAGTAATAGAAAATCTTATAGTTTAAACTATGGGGCGGTGTTCCTGAGAAACAGGAATCAAAGCCATAACACGCCCCTGGACTCTACCCTCTCAAAACTATTGACTTGAATTAAGAGAGAATGAATATCGATCCTCTTTTTCTCATGAACAAAAGTTGTAAACACGCACTGACATAGTAAGTTCTATAGTGGATATGTAAGTTCAGGAGTACAAAAAGAGAAATAAAAATAAAACTTTAATTTTTCAGCGTAGAGTTATTTGGGGTTGATGAATTGTCTGAACTCATTAAAACTTAGCTCTTTTCCCTGATTTTGGCTCCTTTTCAAATCACTCCTTTTTTCTCTTCGTACGCAGATTGTACAATTATACTAGTACTACTCGAAACTTAACTTTTTTTGCACTCAAGTTTAAGAAACTATGAGGCTGTTTACTTATCCACAGACCGGCTGTTTCCTGGTCAGAGGATTTGTATATGATCTCAGTTTTCAAAGACAACCGTATGATTATTTTCCATGTACAACCAAATCGGGGCTCTCTTTGATCTAAGCGGTCCGCTCAGCTAAAATCACACACCTAAGCATAACAAACATACGAAATACGACAAAGGAAATGAAAGTGGACTTCTCCTTTTTCATTAGTAAGCTTTGGTGTTAGAGGAACAGAAGGGAGTGTTAGCAGTAGTAGTTAGAAGCGAGCTTAAGAAGTAAGGACGGAACGCCAATGAAAACGTTGATCAAAAAAATGAATTGATTTTTTTCAGTTAGAATTTCCTAAATGGCTGGACATGTTAACCGTCTCTTACGACGCTACACCTCAACTTCAGCATAAAGTGTGAGCAGCTTTGAGTTAAAAATGGAAACTGAAATTATTTGCTATATAGGGGTTTCCGTTCTCTGGCCATTCAAATTCTCGTGGTTTCACATTGATGTTTTGCAGAGGAGGGCTAAAAATGTACAAAGTTTTAAGACGCACTTGATTAGCTATTCATTAGATCATTTGAAGGTGAAAACAAGATTAAAGCACTGTGAAAGTAAGGTGTTTTGCCATTGACCAAGAACACAAAGCAATAGACCCGGACCTCTCAAAGCAAAGTCAAGAGTTTTAACCATAAATAAACTCATATAATATATTTATGAAAGATCAGAGGTTTTTGACAAGGAGATAGTCTTTTGCTTCGTCCTTGGAATACAGCTAAGTATTGCCAAGAGATCATGTGATCTCTTGGTATTAAGGAGGTTGTCTGTCATCATTTGCCAATCTTAATACCCCCTCCTAAGAACTTCCCTAAATTTGACCCAAGAAAAAATTTTCATAATGAGAAGTCTGGAATCTCCTGTAGGAAACTGAATACTGGAAGGAAACTGTTCACGAGTAAGTAAAACACAAAAACCAATAAATCAATGAGAAGAACACCCATTTCATTACAGTCAAACTACAGCTGCCTAGCGCATCTTAAAAGCTAAACAATAGTTGACAAGAGAGGATGTTCTTCACTCACCATCGTAATTTAGTATCCCTATAATTGCAAGTTTTTTCTTCTCTCTTTCCCCAGGCGCTCTTCTCGCGCTCAAATGAGAATAAAAGTCAATACATTGCCACTAACAGTAATCGCTTATTAACTAATGTATGTGGTTTTCGATCGGCGGGGTTAAAACCGGGGTTTCTGTGGAGGAGAATGTAACGGGCGTTTCTTGATACATGAAAGAATACTGAGACTGTGTCTTACTCATTTGCGAAAATCATTAT